ATTGCAACAGACAGCAGTTAGAGACAGTAACTATTTAGGAATCTCTAATTCCATGTAATTGGTCTAGCTGATCAATAATGGTGTGCAAAGAGAAACAAACGACAAAGAAAGCGAAGTGATTGGAGCGGGACATTCTTTCTTTCAAGTAATACTGTTTCACAGTCACTCCTTAAGATGCTCTTAAATCATTGTAAAGGAAGAGAATCTCATGGGGTCACAATGTTGCACTTTTTAAGAAAGCTGCATTATTACATTCTTTGGGATTTAACGGCATACTTGCCCCTTAACAGACCACAACATCAGCCTGCCATGGCACTAACTGTGTGAAGCTGTGGATTAAAAGCTGCAGAACTTTATGAGCATGCTAGGACTGTGTGTCATTGCTTACTGATGACACAAAGTGAAAGATCTATATTCCATATAAAGCAGATACTGGCTTTGACCCAGCTTCATGGCAGGTATCAATCAGTGCTCATTACTAAATGTCCTGACTCATAGTCCTAAGATCTGTTTTGAGAGCAGAAGTGGCTACTGCTCCTTCATCAGCTTGACGGAGATGACTACACCAGTATCACAGACAGCTACTAGAATGCATTCTTTAGTTATCAGTTTCTCATCCCAGCGTACTAATCCTTCAGTTCATGTTAATACACCATGTCAGGGCTCATGAGAATTGAAGAGGATAACTACCACCCATTGTGCAGGCCATGCCACCACCTGTAGAGGAGCAGCGTTGGCTGTTTTGGGACAGAAGAGTGCCAGCTGCTAGAGTCAGTAACCACCTGAGAGCAAGAACCAATCCAACACACACAAAAAAAGTTTATTGAGGATGATCTGAAGCATTTCTCTTCCCATACAAGTGATTGTGCACCTTTCAGAGCAGGTAAACTTTCTACAAGCTAAAAATGCTGCAAAAGTATATGTAAGGTAATGACCCTACCTATTTTGCCAACTTAAGCCTGCAGTGTGTATTAATATCGTAGCAACTTAAAAGAAAAAAAAAGTTAAAACATACAGAAGCCTTTCATTCTACAACATTTACAGAAGAACATGAAAGAGATTTGATTTTTCTGTATCTCAGACAGATTTGTCAAATACTCAAACCTGTGGGTACAGTACCGATGGCAGTAAGTTATCTCAAGTTTGTCACAAGAAGTAATTAAGTCTTCTGATGGAGAAAAAAAGTTACCACAAAGTCAGATCAAAGGCATGCTGAAGTACTAGAACAATATGACTAACTGTTCTTTTCTCTTTCCTTATTATTTTTTGTCTCACTATATAAAAAGAAGCCTGAACTTTTACTCAGAACTTTTATTATGAGCATGTGAATAGAGGCCAGTTAAGTTTGCTGCCCCCCCTTTTTTTTTTTTGGCTTCGCAGACAGAGAAATATACTATCTTCAGTTTCTATCTGATAGGCAGAAACACGAGCATGAAGAAGACAAACATTGTTTGGAATCTGCTTACAGAATAGATTTTTTTACTTGCTTTAATCAGCTATCTGCATCAGAATTTGTTGTAGCATATATTAACTCCAACGTACGCTGTTTTGGTAGAAAAATCACAAGCAACAGTACAGTATTCTTACTTTCACATCTGCAGCTAATGGGTACAAATGACTACTATAATTTTAAAAATTCAAACTAGTTCAGAAACATCTTTTCAATAATTAACTGCTCTCAAAATCATAAAAAATACATCATGACAAGTAATTGCTGTTAAAGACTGCAGAAAACGAAACTGTGATGGAGATGATGGAGTGATGGATAAGAGGCCTCTAGCCATAAAGACTAATTTTCTTTCCACATAAAGCTCATAAGTAAACTACAGAAGTCTATTACAAAAGGGAGTATGAAGTTCATAGAAAGAATACATCTATACAAAATAAAAACTGATAATACGATCTTTAAACTTGCAGTCTGAGAAAAGACTGCTAAACACAATGAAAATAAGCCTGGAGCTGACAATGACTTGAACAGACTGGAGAGATATAAAAAAGGAAATATAGCATTATCAAGTGTCCAGAAATGTGCAAAAGGTGATGCGTGCTGAGCATGGAACTGGTGACCGAGTATCAGGGCTGTGGAAAGAACTAAGGAGTGTAATGGCAGTTATGTCCCAGGCAACCAAAAGTCAAAGGTGGGAGGCGTTGAGAAGCAGATCGTGGAGATACCTAAGAGAACAGAGAGATTTCAAAACATGAACTAGATCTAGCGCTGGCTGAGCAGAAGTAATGACTCATCCGGACAAGTGTGTCCTTTTCTGGGTTCTCAGTTTCAAGAAAGATGTGGAGTAGTCAAAAAAGAATTTCTTAAGAGAATAACAAGGTGATCAAAGTCCTAGAAAAAATGACTTGGCAGGAAAGCTTAAACGATTTGGACATTTTGTAGCCTAAACGAAAATGGAACTGAGGGTGGACATAATAAGAGTCTCAAAGAATATGACAAAGTCCTTTAATAATTTGTTTTCTGTGGTCATGGTGAGAAGGAAAAGTTGATGAGCTTCAACTGCAGCAACAAATCCCTATTTTTGTTATGACCAAAACTATTGCCACCAATATCCTCAAGTTCTTATTTTAAGGATACTGAAGCAATGTATTTCCTAGCAGGCTGTGAATTATTCATTTTGCATGTTTTTAAAAACAAGTTAGACAAGCAAATCTCAAGAACATCATAGATACAGCTCTTTCCATCTTAAGGGTGCTCAGCTATTTTTGCAGTCCTGTAGGTTTACGATAACAAAAACTTCTCTCACCCATTGTTAAAATGCAAACTCTCAACTGTAGAAAGCTCGTGTTTCTACCTCTGATAACTAATTCCTCTATTTCAAATATGCTTTTTTTTCCATCACAGCCTTCCTGGGCAGAGCTTCCCATGAACTGCTGCAAGAAGTAATGCATTATGCTCCTTGAAAATATCCTTGAAGTTTGCAAAGGCTCAAAGGCACTTCAGTTGTTAGTGTACTATCACCACCATTTGAGACGTCTGCAGATAGATATTGCCATGTGAACCTCCACATATATGGCTGTGTCCACTTTCTGTTTCATTAGATATGCTATGTTTTGACTAGGTGCTCCTTCTGGCAGGGTTTATCACTTAGTTTTTATTTCAGACAGTGCAGAGTATAATAAAGTTTCCCTCATCTGTGAATGTTAACTACCATGGTACTACTAACAATAATGATACAATGTGCTAACAAATCAACACAGCAGGCTGCTATGGGAAAGCACAGGGATTCATTTCAATGTGACTAGCCATGAGGCAGAAGGTGTTTGCAGATGGTTTGGTGTCACTTCTGTCTATTTTCTTTCCATGGAAAACAGCAGCACTGTATGCAAGTGGTGAGTGCATAGTAGTTTCTATTCACCCAGAGAAGACGTACTCTTACTTATCTGGCACTTTCTGAAACAATCTGAACTCAAAAAAGGTCCTTCTGTTTAGCTTAGGCTTTTCCTCACTGGCAGCCACACTTTCCCTTGTTCTTAATCCTAGAACTGTTACAGACTTCATTAAGTGTTTGCTGTATGGAAAGCATCCGCCAATAAAACACTGATGGCAAAGGATAATGGTGACTTTCAACACAGATGCTGAGTATACTCTAGCTTTCTGATCTGAATTTGTTATAATCCAGCCTTCATCACTTCATAGTGACTTCATCTTATGAAGCACAAGCCAACCAATGAAGTCGTAGCATTTACCTTTCATTTACAGAGACCTCTGTTTCATATATCCATACTTCTCTTCCCAACATGCCTGTGAACATTTATCTCTTCCACATTCTCTGTTTAAGTTCACATTGCTTTCTGCATCAGCAAGAGCAGGCAGGCAGCATTATTATTCTTTACTTCCTGAATTTTTCCAACTATTTGTAAGTATTCTCTATCTTATGAGTTGCACTGCTGACTAAGTAATAATAGCCATGCTGGTTTAGAACAGAAGTCCATTTAATTTGTTGGTTTGTAACAGGGTTCTACAGCACAAGAATACAAAAGACAAAGTATGAGCATTCCCCCAGAATACGTTCCCACATTGCAAGTATCTAAGGCTCAGAGAAGAATGTATGCTTAAAATATCCCTGACATACATGTAAACTTATGGACTGTTGTAAAGTACATGCAGGATCATACCTACAATATAAGGAGATTCCAAAACTTCCCTTCGCGACCTTAGCCTCTAAAACTTATGAAGTAGCCATGAAAAGTGCTCATTGATCAAAAAGTCAGCAAGACAGACAGCTTCACCCTTTGGAGCCTACGTCCCCAGCAGAAGCAGACTATCATAACTACAGTATTCCCACATGTAGTGAGTTTTCCCTTCAGAAAACAAACATGGTGCTCACAGGCAGTTCACTGACCACTATATTAAATCGAGATTTCTGAGTGCAATAAATAACAAACATAACTGGCAGATACATTTGTCAGCAGAAATATCTGAGGATGGAAAGTGATTGACTGAAAGCTAGGCTGATGAATGACAAAACCTGTTTCGCTCATTTTCACGTGTTAGTGATCTGGGAGAAGGAATTGTGAAAAGGTTATAAAAGTTTCCTGATTAAATAAATCTGAGCAACGACAGTCAATGCAATAAAAGATAAGACCTTAATTACAATTAAGCACAATTAAGCTGGAAAAAGAATAGGGATAGGTGTTTCTACTTGATCCAGCAGAGAACATGCAATACGGAGAAAATATCAAATAAACAGGCAATTAGCCTTAAGCACATTTAGAACAATGTATGTGAACACTGAAAGTATGACAAAGCCAACTATAATGTCTCATCTATGTTTACCTAGTAAGATAGTTTTATTTAGCAATATCTGAGAGGCATAACTTCAATAATCACTTCTTTCAATTAACCTACAGCCAAGTAGAACAGATGCATTGCTTAAACACAGTAACTATTCACTTCCCTGCAAAGTAGCTATTCACTAACAACTGCAAAGATAAGAAATATGTCCAAACACAGAAAGTGTGACTATCTGTGAACACACAGACGCACTTACCCACAAGGTCGGTATGTAAATACGATGTAACTTTCTTCATCACTTCTTTCAATAAATGTAACACACGTGTACTTTTCCCAGTGTCGCATCGCCTGTTTGAACATGGCGCGCTGCGTGCCTGCAAGAATTGCATGACATGAAATAAGAGACTTTTCCAACTTTAGTCTTCAAATCTGGAGACTAATTTAACTTCAGCACACCAAACAAGGCATGTGAATTTAATAACTTTGTCTCAAGCAGGGACGAACTTCCATTTCCTTCCATCCAAACCTTTCAGAAATCAAATTATTCACCAAAAGGGGAAAAATGTATTTTGTTACTATACAAAGCATACCTAGATACTTGTTTTAAAAAGAGAAATGCATTCAGAAACAGCCTAGATGCAGAAAAAGCCAAGCCAGGTCTCACAGAGCTCAAGGCCCTGTGCATGCTGGCTGCCCACACAATGCTGCAGGTAGCATGGCAAAGCAATTTCATTGCCTAATAAAAGACAAGGCTTGTTAACTTAGAGGTAGTACCTGAGAATATTGTTGCTGAGCTAGAAATCCACAAAGAACTGTACTCAGCACGAATTTGCTGGCAGAAATATATCCATCTCTCATTCCCTCAAAGCTACATTCCAGCAGAGAGTGGATGGGTAACTTGGGGCATGGGTGATGTCTGCTTGTTTTTAAAATGCTTTAAGTTAAAGACAACAAAATCTCAAAGTTCTTAAAAACGATGAGTTCAAACAATGCCATGATCCTAAGAATTAAGGGTTATTTCATCCTGTTTCGCCCTTTTATCATTAAGTAATGTTCATCAAGCTTTAAAACTTACCTTTACAAAAAAGTAAAACGTTCAGCATGTAAATCTTTTACTTAGTTTACAAACGTTCCTCCAAAAGATTGCTATCCAAAAACAAAGGTTACGTACTCTGTAAATACCCAGACTAAAAGTTTTACTAGAACAGTTTGGAAAGAAGGTCTCTGATTTCTTACGTGCATACAACATGTGTGAATCTGCATGTTTCTTTAGGCTTCCTGTATTACTGTGCACAGTAAGATGCTGCTATGTATTGTTTTCCACCCGTCTTCATTTTTCTCTACATTCCTTTTTGTTTTAAATTACTGATTATATCCACACTGATACTGATCCACTTATATTTTTCAGGAATGATAAATGTTCTAAATTTCCATGCTAAGAACTACATACAAATATTGAAGCCAGCTTTTTCTTTTTGACATGTATAGTAATCAGGTATCCGTTTGAAAGCCAAATTGAGGAATTACAAAACACATTTAAGTCATTTAATTGCGTTACATCAGTTTAGCAAAATACATGTCCCACTAGTTAATTCTGTTATATTCTTAAACTAAATAAACATCCTTTTTTTTTTTTTTTATTAATAAAAATAAATTTCAATATATTCTGTTATTTAGGCTCCTGAAAACAAACATATAACAGAAGAAACATCAAACAAACAGAATTCCTTATCTAAAACAAACCTAAATATCTTTATTACGCCGCTTGCCCTTGGGAACAATTCATTAAAGGATGGCTAACGTTTTCAAAGCAGATGTAGTCCTGGCCTGATCCTGCAGAAATCTTTCCATAGTGTGACTTCACTATAAATGAATAAATAAAAATAAACCATATTCTTTCTCCCTATATAAAGCTGAAAACTTACCAGTGAAATTTCCACCTATTACGTATGGAATGACACCCCCTGGCCATATTCTCTCTGTTCGTGATGTAGCAGCTCTGGGAAATCTGTTCTTCTCGTTTTTCCCTGAGAATTTCACTGTGGTTCTTCCTTTAGAAGTATTATTTTGCTCCAAGCCTGTAACGACAAAACACTAATTGAGATCATTAAAAAGAAAAAAAGAATAGAAAAATAAAGAGAGAACCATTACTGAATAATTATTTTCCATGATGTCAAAGTCATATTATTACTTCTATATGTACTTTATCAATAATCTATTACTACTCATTTTACAGGAAGTGCTTGAAATGGCGTGTCTAAATCTTCAACTTCCAAAGGTATCTACAGTAACAATTTAAGCACACAAGCTTACTGACTAACAGAAACGCTGTCTGCATAATTGCACCAAACAATAACAATAATAATAATAATACACTTCCTTGTGTCTTTTATTTTCTGTTGTTGTTTCGGTTTGAGTTATTTTTCGTTGGTTGGTTGGTTGGTTTTAAGAAAGTTTGGATTTCTCCAGCAGGGGAAAAAAGGCAGACCCCAAGTAATCATCACATTTACTGTCCCTTTCAATTTTATTCCTGGATCTGGAAAAAAATCAAGTGCATGGCTATTCCTAGAGCAATGGACAGAAAGAACTCCATTACAGTGGCTTTTGTTATCGTGAACTGTCTGGAAAAATAGATAAATTATTTGCAAAGTAAACTGTAAACTTATGGAAAAAGTCACAGTTAATTTTTCCCTCTGATCTCCGTTACTTGCACCTAATGCTAATAGCCACAACATTCTCAGATGGAAATATAACTTTCAGTTTCATAATAACCCTATAACACTTCAGGATGTCAACATGTATTTTTCACAAATGAGCTTTTGCATCCCTGTGGATAAGCATTACTCATGGCTGTAAGTTGGAAGATCAATAAAAGTCTACTATTTTGAGAGATTATCTATCATCCTTCCTGTTACAGGTAAATATCTCCTATATCAGTTGAAATTTGCTGTGACTACAAAAAACTATAAGGACAGCGAGACAGGTACTTGTACGCCATAATGAAGTTAGCTTTTCTCTTCTGATGCAATCTGCAAGTTAGTAATGGGTATCAGTGAAGATGATTAAAATGAATCACTTATGCCAAGTTGCATATATGAAAGATAACAAGCTCTTATGCAGTATGGAAATGTCATAAAAATGAAGACTGTATACCAACATATTACAGAAAAGTCAGAGTGTTATGGTTAATCTTACAAGACATACACTGATGCATGTAGACACACTGTAGTGTGTTTAAAATGCAGTTTTACATATTTTCTTTTGAGAAGTTGACATTCCATGACACTAAAATGACATCTTCTTGTATGAAATATGGCAAATGCACTTGGCCAGTATTAATGGAGATTCACTGATATTGCGTGCTGAATTCAACTGCATTCACACTGACAGAAGGATGATGTGTTTATTTAGTGGAACACACCATAAAAGCTTCAAATTGTGTGACTCATCACAGTGCCCCAAACGGATCCAGAGGAAAAAGTACTACATTAGCAGCTATCTATCACATTCCTCAAGTACTGAGCAGACATTGTATTGATAAAAGTAGTACTTGTAAATGTGAATATAACCATGCTAAGTAGCTAAGGAAATCTTAATATGAAAGGTAAAAGCACATTTTAACTTCAAGATCTTAAACTAGAAACAGACCTCTAAGAAAATGTGATGAAGAGCTGATCTCTTCATTAGAATTGTCATACTGTTGTCATACTGTCATACTGTTTAAAGTTTGCTTATGCCAACAGTAATACAGAGACACTTCAGTACATTAAACCATTGTAATCATTAATGCTCATGTTACATCATCATATCAAGCAACCTCATAATTTAAACAGTAAATATACCAGAGCCAAATCTTCTTATCCTTTCTATAAGCTGATAGAGGGCACCTCGCTTTTTTGACATCCCATGCTCTCCAAAGCCACCTTTAAAGACAAAAGAAAAAAAAGAAAGAATTTAGAAAAATTAAGAACATGGAAACAGACCTACAGCAACTACATAGCCAGAGGAGACTGGGAAGTATCCTTCAGAAAGTGCTATGTGTCTTTAAGGAAGTTTAACATTCCTGAATGACTTGCCTACAAATTCTTCAAGTATCCTCGACAATGAGCAAGAAGACATTTTTAGCTGAAATTTTTTTCTAAAATGCATTCCAGAATGTAAGCCAGCATGTCTTTGTTACTCAGACAAGTCACGGTAACTACATCATTTAATTCTTATTTGGAGCTTTTTCTTCTTTCTGGTGACACTGAGATTCTCTGAGCCGCATTGATAGACGGCTACAAGCTCTACTGTCACAGAAGTTTACTAAATGGATGCCATAGTCTTCCCATTTGAAGGAAAAAGGTAAAAAGAAACATCCAAAGTTTCATCTTTGGAAAAACAAACCAGAACAAAAAAAAAAAAAAAAACCACAAAAAAAACGCTTTAATATGTCTAATTATACCATGCAAGTTTTGGCTTTCTTTGTCAACATGAATTGTGCAATGGACTCTCAGAGGCTTTCAAATGTCACATGCTGGCGTGTACTGCTATAAGACCTTACAGGCATATGTGTGTGTCATTTTGGTAATCAATGAGCAATAAGAAATCAACTAATACTTTATTTTAACATCTGTCATGTTACTTCAAGAAATGTATAACATTTCTGAATCGAGCACGTTCATCAGATGCATGTCACAAGCCACCTTCACATCTAATTTTGCTGTGGTTGTAAGTGGCTTTGAAAGTACAGTTAAGCTCAAAGAAAGAGCACTGATAACACCACACAGGCCAATAAATCCTCAGAATTGTTAAGAAGGCTTTGAGATTTTTCTATGTAATAGGTTATATCTAACAATCAATAACTGTCACAGAACAAGAGAATTTTCAAACTACTTGTACAACATCAAAAGTCAGATAGAAACAAAGAGACCACCAAAATATCCAACCACCACAGAACAGACCTTTCCACATTTCCCATTAAACGTTTCAGTACATATGTGGAAAATATATTTCTTAAGAGGCAACTTAAAATCCTACCATATAAGGCTAGTGAGTCCATGGGCTGCTCAGTGAATAACAATGTGCCTAATTATTTGGATTACACTGTCACATAGCTGCTAGCTCTCTGGAGACAAATTTTCCAAATTGTTTTAAGCATTTTAGATAGATGAGGTAATAGTTCAACACATTCCTTCCCAACAAGTTATAAGGTTAACTGTAATATACAGTAAAGAGAATGTAACCGTTTCATTGCTTCTATTGGTCGTTATTAATGCAACTGCCTCTCATGTTAACATTTATACCATAAAAATGCAAATAGAGTCCCAACAAATATAAAATAAACATTGTAAAAAAAAAATAGTAACCTTAATGTAGCAGAAAAAGACTCCATTACTTACTGAAAGAAACTACTATTCTAATTTATTTCTAAAAAAAATAATTCAAGTATCATCACTTTGATAACACAGCCTGCATAACCCAATTAGTGGGAAAAAAAAATCGAAGAAGTATCTTACATAACTAGTCTGGCTTACGTTATGATTTACAGTCTTGCCAAACTGCAGTCTAAATATATATATATATTTATTTCAATCATATTTGTAGCATTTTTTTTTTGCACTTGTAATAGTATATACAGCAATGCTGCAATATTTGCTCTTGCTTCTATTCACAGTAATGATGTATTATATATTGCATGACTAAAATAAGATGCTCAGAGTAAGTATCTGATCTTGCAAATCCATACTATAATTCTCACCAAAATGATTAGTCACAAAACATAGATCAAAGCCTGTTAGCTCAGGATTTTAATTAGTAGTTGCAATGAAAAATGCAACTCTCCAATTCTATCTTGATAGTTTATGCCCAAGTACTTAACCCTTCTAAATGATGTCATCTGTATTTTTGAGAGATCAACAACAGAATAACAAGGAGGAAATCATTCTTGTAATTAATTGTCCCTGCATCTGTAAGGAAGATAAACCCTTAATTTGTTTTCATATCTTGACCTTCCATTTCCAAGTCACCATCTAATATTAATAAGCCAGTTGTAGGTAATGTCCAGCTAAACTCCAACGTATGCATCAAAATGTGCTGAACTTATATGTGATATTTTTCCAAAAAAAAAAAAAAAAAAAAAAAAAGAATTTCAACTCTGTTTCAAAAAAAAAAAAACAAATCAAGATTGCTGAGTGCTCATTGAGAACGGGTACAAAAACAGTACTTTCAGCAGCGTTTGTTCTCCAAGTCCATTTTCCACTGATTATTTCCCTTGCATCGATTCCTCTTGCACAGTAAGGGTAGACAAATTTGATCCAGCTGCATTAGTAACCCTCAGTAGGACAACTCACTATCCTAAATAAGATACTGTGTTGACTGGCAAAGATAATGAGCAAACCTCAACACAGGTAAGTAAAGAAAATAAAATATATAATGTGAAACAGTATAAAAACAGCTTAGATCAATATACTTTAACAACAAAACAAAAGAGAGAGAGATCTTTGGAGTTAAAAGGGAAAGATGTAGAAGTAAAAGGAAGATCAGCAGGCCAAAGAAATCACTTGACTGAGTGCACTTTCAGGGGAAATGACTGACCTCACTGTCTACACTGTCAGCAAATCTAGGGGCTGAAATATTTTCCAAGTCAATTAAAAGTATTTTGTTAGAGGGGGAAGGGGAGAAGGAAACCATGGACAATTAACATTTTCAAACCCAGTCTTGATCTAGAAAAGAAACAAGTGGTACTAAAGGGATGTAAAGTAAATTTTCAGGATATTAAAACAATATTGTCTAACTATGTCTAACTAATGAACAGCTGAACTACCCTATTTGTGTTGATATGGAGAAGTTAAAATGAAAAATGCTTCTTTTGTCTGGTGAATTCCTTTCTGGTCATTCCTCAAAACGATCCCTATTTTCTAATATTAGGTATCATCAAGGTAAAGAGCAGTTGAGTTCATCAACACAGCGAACATGAGTAATGAAAAACAAATTTCGGCTACACAAATATAGATTCTTTACTATGCATAAATATTTGATTTCACACCTTTCCCACTTTGATTTTTTTCGTACCATATTCTGAAAGCTTACCCATTTTTGAGTTTACAAATCACAGCATGATAGTGTGGCTATTTTCAGATGTGAGGTAGGCAGATATTTAGACATGGACTATTTTTTCAGACACACACATACATACATTTAGAAGCGAATAATATCTCTTTATCTGTCTCTCTGAAAATTAATCAGATTATGGTGTCTGGCACTAAGGCACCACGTGTGACAAGGCAAACGATAGCAAGGATAACAATGTTGTTGTGTAGCCTCTGGTGCGTGTAGATTTAACAACAACGAAAACAACAAAAGGTGCTGCTGTAATTCTAGAATCCCAGTCTCACCTCCAGGATTCCACATGCTTTTTCCAAAGGGCATCTCAGCTGTACTATCAGGAACTTGCAGTTGAAAGTAAAGCTTTGCACAGCTTCCTTTCCCACATTACTACCTGCAGAGAGGACTGGCAGAGATTCCTCCCAGTTTCTGCTCTTTGGTTCAACAAGTTGTTTCGCTCTTTGTTTGCTTTTTAAGCAAGAAATTCAGGAATACAATTAAAATTTCCCCTTCTGACTTAACTAAAACCAATTCATATTCATTGCCGAGTATCTTTTCAAACTGTAAATGAAACTAATATTAATGACAAAGTTTTAAGACAGCGACTGCCTCCTATTTAGAAGTAAATAAAAGGAAAAAAATAAGTTAAAAAGCAAACTTGAAATATCATACCTGTGTTATGGCCAAGTCTTTCATTGGAGTGCTGCGTAAGGTCAATTGTCCTGTCAATTTGAAAGATTTTTAAGTCTTCATCATCTAAGGCAATATCTCCCCAAAAGACAGCTTTAAATAAAAAAGAGCTCAATTTAATTAAAGAATTTATTTTGACATCAAAACCAATTTGAAGACTATATTGCCAGGTTACAAACCTTAAGAAAATACATGACAAATATACAATTATGTTACGTACTTTTGTGCACTGATTTTTATTTTAAACAAAGAAAGAAAACTATAAAAAGACAAATCATTTGTTTCAGTATTCTCAAATTTTTACAGGCTAATTTCTTTACTAATTGCATAAATGCCATCATATAAACGTAACATTAATCAGGTAATAAATTTTCACCATATCTAATGATTTGTACGCATAAATACAGCAGAGGAGACTAACAACCACTGAAAGACATAAACATTCAAATTACAAAGCAACAAAATGAACAAAACCGAAAGAACACAGTCTTTATTTTTCCTAACATTCTCCTGAAAATGAAACACAAGTCATTCTCAACACTCCAATTAATTTCTTTATCACATTACGTTTGCATCAGAGAATTGATATGTTTTCCATTATCCTCTTCGTTGATTTCTATGCTGTCCTTCGATGTTTAATCTCACTATAAGGATTCCTTCAAATACTTTACTTTTCAAAACGCCATTCTTTTTCATCTTTTTTTTTCATCCTTTCCTAAAACTTTTTGGTATGTTTCTTCCTTTCTCTTTTCTTGTTCTCCTTACGACCCTCAGGTGTTTGGTTTTCTTTTGTTTGACTTTCTCATAGTTAATTCATCTTCCCTAAAATGCCATCACAACTTAGTGGCTAAAGATATATGGCAAGAATCTTGACCATCTGCAAGAATTCGGGATCTATGCCTTCAGCATGCAGACCATTTTTTGCTGAGATTTAATCATGAAATCTCCCTGCCAACACAACATTATCATTAAAACTGAATGGAGAAAGCAGTATCCTCAGCTAGCATTAATGAACTCAACAGAGTATCACCAACTCACATGAGCATAAGTGACACCCTCTCTGCTCTACTTACATTCTAACTGATTCTAAGCACTAACTAGTTTTATTTTACTGTCATGTGGTCAGCTATGTTCACATACATACATACTTACACACACAAACATATATATGTACGTATATGCAGTGATCATTCATCTGATAATACTTTCAGTACATCCCTGTTACTGTAAAACTTACCCTTATTGATTAATGCTATATTAATAATAATTTAATCAAATTCATACCTAAAAATCTTGGCTTAAGTTATGTATTCCCACGGAACTCCCAGATATTACATTATATCTTCATTTGTTACTTTTTCCTCAACTCAGAGCAACTAGAGAAAGAAATCGCACTAAAAATTCCTTTTGACTGCCTTGTAAAGTTAATAAATTTAAATAAAAAAAATAAAATACAGCATCTACATGGACCTCAAAAAAGAGAATTTTCAATTAAAACCACAAACATCTGAATGTATTTCCACTTATACATATTTCTTTGCATTAAAAGATGTTTATCAACAGCAGCAAGTGTTTGAGACCATTTCTGAAACTGTTCAGTCACTTCTCATACATTTGTGAAGGTTCTCCTCCCAAGGGTTGCTATTTCTCTATGTACACATCAGGCAGACGCTTCCTCTGGCTAACCTATCCTCACCAGCTTTTACCTTCAAGTCAAGAGACAGAGTTACTGGATGCTCTAGTTGATTTCTGCTTAAATTTTCTAGGAAAAGAAAGATCTTAAATGGTTAGAGTTTTGAACAGCGAGAGGAGAAATTCTCTGAGTTAAATACTATTTATTATTCCTATTATAAGAATCTTCTAGAGGTTTCTAGTGGATGTTGCTCATAATAGGGGCCACTGTATAAGCACAATGAAAAACCACAAAATCTGATATGCCAAAATAATGATAAGAGCAAGAAGCTATTTTCACTTTAGAAAGACATCTGCAGAGGTCACACAGGTTGTCCAAATCAAACTTGAGGAAGTGCTAAAAATTAACAGCGAGCCCATTTTTCTTTCCTGGTTACACTGACAGTTTACAAAACAAAGGTTCTGAATTAACAAAAACTGCACTCAGAGACAGAAACGTATCAGCAGAAATCACTTTGGCTTCAGTACATAATACTGATGTATAAATATGAAATGAAAATTGAAGGCAAACTGAGCTCTAAACAAGTACACAGATTAGAAGAAGACTGGGTTGAACAGCATGTCCTCTCCAGGATCCATGTTTAGCACTTCACTGCGGTGATGTTCACTTTGCTATGAAAGTACAAATAGCATGACTTAAGATGAGTTTGTCTGACAAATGCACTGAATTTCCTTGCACAGACACTAAGCAAAATATCTTAGTGTTTAAGCAAGTAGCAATAAATGATTGCTGGAAAACAAAGCTATGCTTTTTTTTTTTTTTTTTTTTTTTTTTTTTTTTTTTTAAACATCTGGACTGACAGCTAGAATTGGTTTTGACAGTAACCAATCACAATCTTAAGTTTAATAATAATACAGCTGTGGTCATACTACAAACAGTGCTGAAGCAAGTTTGACCCAAATGTAAACAAATAATCTTCGAATCCAGTAAGATTTTCTAATGTATGAGCTAAATATGAGTAACAACAAAGAAATAGATGTGATTGCTTGCGAAGTATAATGCAACATTCAAAGTTTTCTTCACACTAGAGTTGTTTTTACACAAGTCAGTTCTGTTTAGCAGGTCAAATAAAAATGCAACAGGGTAAAAGGCAGAAACATGGAAAGAACTAACACATTTAACTGCAGAAGCAAATGAGTAAGTGCCACTTGGCTTCCACAGATTTTTCTGAACTCATTTCAGTGCAACTAGAAAGAAATACACTTGGCAAGAGAGAAAAAGTTGGTAACCGTTTCTTTTCATATTCCCCTTTTTCCAATGAAAAGTCTGCATTTCAACTTTCAAAGCCTGATGCAGAAACTCACCTGAACATTAAAACAAACAAACAAAAGAAAAAAAAAACAAACATCACCACTTCTGTAACTCTTAAAGCTACGCTTTAATTTTTCAGAATGTCTGTGGAAGTCTCATAGTACTTCGTAACTAGAGAGGACCGTTCCTGCCTCCTGCCTTAACATTTTAATAGCCTGAAACTATCTGAAGAAGTTGCTTTGTATACTTCATCTTGTCACACGCCAAATCTTATGGAAAACAAGCAGAGGATAGCTTGGGTATGTTAGGTACGCTGAAGAATGCGCTGAAGGGCAGATATGGATTTAATAGGTCCCTTCAGGAAACTTCTGCCAGAATTGGCATCTTCAGCTACAAACCTCCTTTGTTCTTCACAGATAATTCATCCATAACTTTGCGCCAGAAAATTGACACAAAACTGATAACCAGTTTTGCTTAACATGCCAAAAAACAAAAATTGAGGTAATAGAGTAGAACTTCTAAAATGATCCAAACAAAGCTTAAACTACCTGTTTTGGTTTGCTTCACACTCTCATATTGTCTACTCAGTGACCAGGAAAACTTGGTGTTTACAAGCAAATTTCTCATTTGATTTGAACATGCAGGAGTGCCAATAAACTTGGGAAAAACCTGTTGAAAAACTACATATCTGATACAAGACATGTACAGTTCTTTACACTAAACACTGTGCTAAATTTTATACGACTTCACTTTTCTTATTTTCTGAGGGGAGAAGGTTGCTTTATTTCATTTACATTTTATACAGGCACTACATAATGCATTTACACAAATTCAACTGGCAGACAGAAAATAAATAAATATATGTATATCTTTCAGAAAGAGGAGCAAAATTCTACCCTGTAAAACTTTTTCCATAGTAGTAAAGGAAGATTATGCATAAATGTACATTCTGTCAATACAGAAAATGCTCTCCACCTATAGTTCTGATTTCATGCAACTCAAATTACTTAGCTTTCACCTTCAAAAAGGCCCAATTAAATTAAGAGAAAACATTCAGGTACATGAGGCAGTTAGACTTGTTACATACAAACAATTGCCTCACCATCACAGAAACAAGCAGGAAAATAATTATACTGTAGAAGACATCTCCATCCAGGGATACACATCTTCATGTTACCAGAAAAATAATGTGATAGAGAAGAAAAAATAAGATTATTTCTGACACAGAGATAAAGCATGGGAACTTCATTCTAAATGTGGCAACACAAACTATTATTATGGATAATTAATATCTATCTGCAAAGCTCTCTTTGCTAAAATACTCTCTTTCAACAGGACCACCACCACATCAAATATCCACTATTCCAGATGAACAAAATATGGTACTAAGAATACAAAGTACTGAAAAATAGAAGGACAAAGGAAAAACATCGAAAATATTTTTATGGGTATTTACACCCACAGTAGGAATCAACCATCATACAGCTTCGGGACCAAATGAGTTTTCATGACTTCCTAGAAGATGGTCAGAAGTAATGGAGCATGAGTGAAATCATACTGTTCAATTCACAGAGCTGAGACATGCAACAGAATGGCTCTTTCTGGTATTAAAACTACCATTAGCATAAAATCCCACAAAGTACATACAGAAATATATCAACTATGATTGAAGAAAAAAAATTATCTACATCAAACAGTTCCACAGTTATTAATTTTTAAAACTACAAGCAGCCATTTTTAAATGAAATATACTGCTGATGGTATTTACATTGCTATCAGTAAAAAAGTAGAAGATGCAACCAAGATTGTTATTGCTTGCTACTAGAGTGCAGCAGCAGGACAGCAAAGGCAATCCAGCTGTATCTTGGGCTCACTAATTAGCACCCAGCTACCAAGGACAGCTCTACAAGAGCAACATTGCAGTAGACCACTAAGATCCAAAAAGCATTTCCATTACGTGCTTTGTTTTGTATACTTTGCAGGCTAGAAGAACATTTAATTCATGGACAGTGTTATCGTGTTTGGACAACTTCTGAAAACAAGAGTAGAAAAGCTAATATTGTGATGAATTAGGAACCTATAGCCTGAATTTTTTTTTTTTTTTTTTTTCTTAAACTAAACAAATCAGGCAAAGCAAGAAGTAAATTGT